GCTCATATTCATGTTGATCTGTCAGGGTTATAGAAAAATAAAAAGTATGCTTCTTATCCACTTATTCTCATTTTTGAGTTTTCAAAAAAATTAATTGATTGCATGACACGTTAATTTGTAATTAATGTGTATTATGTTTAAAATAATTTTGTTCCATTTTTAGGTCGAGTTCCTTTTCTTATGATTGATTATGGCTCTTGATTATGGCCTACCTAAAGCCTAATAATAATGAAATAATGTTTCAATTTAAATTGTTTTTTAAGTATTTTTGTTACTTTTTGTTAAGTTACTTAAGTATCGATTAGCACAACCAAAATGTTTAATAACTTTGGATGTAAAAATAGCTTAATTTAATGAATTTGTAAACAATTTTGTTTTTAACAGCAACGTTTTTATAAAAAGTATCAAACGGATAAAGCTAACTTATTTAAAATAACATTTTCTTAGGCCTTTTTTCTAATGTCCAAATTTGTTTTTTAAATAAATGTTGACGAGTGAGTAAAATCTTGATTATAGTTTAAGTTTTCAAAAACACCTGAAGAATTGCTAAGCAACTGTCTCTATTATGTTAAAGATCCTTTTATGTATAAAATATTTGAGTACATTAAGTAAATAAGTACAGTTTCTAAAGTATATTAAGTCAATTGTTAACCAAAAACTTTAAATCGACTATTTATTTGCTGTTTACTTAAGGTATAGAGACCTAACTAAGAACAAGTTTGGAAATAGCCGGATGTGGAATAGAGTTGCCGCGACCCGTAAATAATATTATTTACTTAACACTCCATAGAGAGTGTTGAATCTAAGGTAATACCAAGGATTTTTACCAAATTTGATGCAGCAAGAGTTGCATCTGAAAATAAAAATTGGGTTTCCTCTTTAAAATTAAATGTTTGTTCACAAGACAGCTCTGTTTTTTTTTGGATTAAGCAGTAGTCTGTTTTCAAGAAACCATGTGATGACTGCATTTGCACATTGAGCTATGCTGTTTATATGGTCTATTCCTGGTCTGATGGCAATATATAGTTGAGTATCATCAGCATATTGATAGTGATTATATCCGAGTTTAACTATAATTTACCGGAGATACAAACATGGAAAATAGAAATGAGCCAATAACACTACCTTGTGGTACTGTTGTTGAAATATCTGATATTGATGATTTTGCTGTTCGAATAAAAACAATCAAATCAAATATGAAGGTATGAAAAAAGCCATTTTGTTGCAGTTTCTGTGATACCAAATTCGTTTTTTGCACGCTCTGTTAGTAATCTGTGATCAATAGAATAAAAGTCTGCTGATATGTCTAGAGAGGAGGAAAGTAGTTAATACATAATCAATGTTTGATAGGATGTCATTGAAAATCTTAAGGAGTGCTGTTTGAGTTGAAGGATTGAGTCGGAAACCAGATTGTAAAAGGTTGAAGTTTAAAGAGAAAGTTGCATGCGGAAGCAGGCTAGATAAAGCAAGCTTTTCAAGAATTTGGAAAACAGTGTTCAGATTTGAAATAGGGTGTAGATTGGTAAGATAAAAATCACTTAGATCTTATATATATATATATATATATATATATATATATATATATATATATATATATATAAATATATATATATATACACAAAGTAAAACAAACAATAATAAAACAAAAACTCTATTATAACATAACTCATAACTCAAGGTAGCAAATACTTCAAAAAAAAAAGTAAATGCAGATTCTTTAAAATTAAACTTACTTGAATGGGTTTATGAAATTATCAAGAAAGACTTTGATGAATTAAGTAACAACTATTTATTAAAAAATGTCTTCATGGGCTAACTCAAAATTGTTATGAAGGACTAAATAATATCATCTGGTCCCGAAATCCTTAAAATGTTTATGTAAAGACAGATGTTTTTGAAATGGGAGTAAACTCAACGGTTCTTTTTTTCAATGAAGGTTCATTGTGTATTTAAACATTTAAATCTAGACTTTGGAAAAAATACGATAACTAAATCAGTAAAATAAGACTAAAAGCAGTTAGGTGAAAAAGGGAGAACCACAAAAAAAAAAAAAAAAAAAGAAAAAAGTTGAAAGAAATTAAGAAAGGTTGTATTGATAAAGATCAAGAACAGTTATCCAAATATATCTACAAAAAAGAATATTTTTTAAACTTTTTTTACTTATTTGCCTTTTATCTAAAAATGAAGATTTAACCATAATTTGTGAACTCAAAACACGATATCTCAATTGCTAAGTCTTTTATCAATTGCTAAGTCTTTTCAGAACCTAATCCCCCTAGAAATTATTCAATTTTCAGTTTTTTGGGACTTCAAAGAAATATTTTTGTTTTTATATAATAATCTTAGTTCATCCTCGACCTATCAATATCATAAATCGATATCAAAAAATAATATTGCAAAGTACCGAGTTGTTTTAATTAGCCATTCTGGAATAATCTTGTTTTGAAAAATTAAATAAAATATGCTTTTTTGTCCGTTTTTTATTAAAAAAGTCCTTTTTTTTCAGTAAACCTTAATATTTTATTATTATTTTCATTAAATTAAATTTATAAAACTGATTTTAGAATTGATTTAAGTTATTTTACTAAAAAAAAACATTTCCTGTGAAGCCACCTTAAAGATTCACCCTCCCCCCTCATTTATTCGTAGAATCGCTTCTGTATGTATGGTCTTAACATAAAACAGAAAAACGAGGTCGGCAATATTTTGCCGATCTCATGCATTTTTAGGTCGGCATTGCCGATCTTTATATTTATATATGTATCAATCGGTTAATTCTAAAACATTGTATGTCCAAATTTGGGCTATATTTAGTTATGAATGTTAAAATGTCAGTCTCTGCGCCCTCTACTGTTTACCAAAGTTTAGGGAGTGGAGAAGATATTTAATTTATTTTGATAACGATTGACTGAAAAAAATTGGATTTTATCAGAATTAAAGTTCACCAGCCACTGTGATTCCCATGCTGTAGCAGAAGTGAGATCCTTTTCAAGCTCAGATGACCCCTTTAAGCAATCAGTGAGTGTTAGCTTTTTATCAAGACAAGAATAAATGGTAGTATCATCGACGAATCATGCCATTTTAGATGTAAGAATATCTGGAAGATTGTTTATGTAAATTAAAAAGAGTACAGGGCCTGAGATAGAACCTTGAGGAACCCCTGAAGTTATAGGATACAAAGAAGTGTCCAACTGAAGGACAACTTTTATACTACAACTGAAGGACAAATTTTATACTACAATTGGAAAGAAAAGATCTAAATAATCTTAAAGAAGTTACCTGATTTACAGTAAGAAAGCGGTAAGTTTATGGAGAAGACCAGTATCACAAGCTTTATCATAAGCTTTAGAAATGGCAAAAGCAACAGCCTTTACCTCTCCACCTCTATCTAATGCACGATAAAATCTATCAGTTATTACTGTTAGCAAATCAGAGAAGAGATGATCGAAATCCATATTAGGGCAATTCTATCGTTACTTAAGGGAAATTTTGATTTTTGTAGTGTCACATTTTTAGATATATATTTTTTATTTCAACAAATTAGATGTTTATATATTCATGAATTATCTCAAAATTAATTATTTGTTTTCCTGTATATTGAAATTTCTTTCAATTATTATAACTATAGGAATTATAGTTGATTATATGTTGTGTTACTTACGGTACGCAAAAAAACATTATATGTTGTGTTACTTACGGTACGCAAAAAAACATGTTGTGTTACTTACGGTACGCAAAAAAACATTGCATTAAACCTGCTGTTTTCAGTGGAATATTTCAAACCAAATATTTAACCTACATAAACTGGCTTCTTAAACTAACATGATAGGGTAAAAAAAAATTGCGACTCTCAACACCCAATCAGGAGCTTGGTATGCAAACCATGATAGTATTTTAATTTTTTATATCCTTTGAGATATGCGAACTAGACAAAAAAAAACACCTAAACTGAATTTTGTAGCAACTGCTATTTAAGAGCTAATTAAATGAAAAAAAGATGAAGTAAAAAAACCTGTTTTCACTTGTTCGCTTTCTAAATATAAGTTGTTATTGCTAAGATTGACTCATTCAATAAATCCTTCTGTAAAAATTTATACTTAAAGTACCGAACGTGCTGTAAAACAAGTGATAATTGCATCTATGTTGCAACTACCATATATATAAGATGGTTATATTTGAGCTAGAGAATTGTTACCTGCGTTTAATACAAAGAAAGAAATTTTTTTAAGCTCGTAATATCAATAGACTTAAAATATTTCATTTTTTTTTTCCTTTTAATAGTGTTATCGAAATATCGTTTGAGTAAAATATTGGATCAAAATTATAGAAATGGTAAGAATTTGTAGCATCTCATTTAAAAAAAAAATGTTCTTCATTGTATTCTACAAAAAAATGTTATTTGTTGTATTCTACAAAGAAATTAAATGTAAATAATATTTTTAGACATTTGCCTAATTCTTTCAATTTCTAAAAGAACAAATTTGGGTATCAAAATTTCGTCAGATCAAAAAAAAATTTTAAGGAAACTCTATTTAAAATTGAATTTTACATAAGAATATTACCGCTGTAACCTACTGTCTATATTACACCAGACAGTAAAAGCAAATACGGCAAAAAGTACTAATAAAGAAAACATCAATATAAATTTGAAATTATCTTTAACTAAAGATATTTTAAGTAGTTAAATTTTATTGGAGACGTACAGAAAAAAATATTTTTTCAGATTTTGTTTTAAATATAATTAAAATTCAAGATAAACATAAAAAAAAACTTATTATTGTTCTGCTTCTTGTCTTATTCCTAGTGGGCACCAGACCTAAATAAGACGTCTTTTGAACGTTCAAAAGACGTCCAAAACGTTTATAAGACGTTTAAAAGACGTCTTTTTTACGTCCGTGCCCACTGGGTTATTGCTCTGCTTATTGATTTTATTTTATGTTCATTGTGAATATATTTAAACGGAAAATTAAAGAGAAAACAACAAAAACAAAAAAGCTTCATCAACTTTGACGTATAATATTTACATCATCATATTACAGAGTGTTTATAGATAAGGCTTTTGAAATACACAAAAATAATTCCCTCAGTCACTTCTGGAAACAAAGCATTACTTAAAACTGACTTAGATTTGTAAAAACAAAATTATTTATCGTTTATTGAGAAGGAAACTTTAATATACTGCACTGTCATCCAATTGAAAGATATTGAGCAATGTTCATATCAAAGAATAAAATATATTTGTTCAACAAAAAATTTATATTAGCTATATTAAAACTCTTTGTTTGAAATTTGTCGCAATTTGTTGAAAAAATAATTTTGCGCAGACAAAATTAGGTGTAATTAAACTGATCTTGGTGTAATTTAACTGTCAAAGTATAAATTTAATAAACAATACTAAAACAAAAAACTTGCAAAATATATATTATGTTATTATATTTCAAAAAAAAATTTTGTTTCAGTAAAAATGTCTTCACAATAATATATTAAAAATTTTCTTTTATATAAATGTTCCAATCATTCCACAATAGGCTTCAATTCATTCAATAGGTTCCAATCATTCCATCAAAGTAAAATCATATATAAGTAAAACTATAACTAATTAACCAAGAGACAATCGTTTGAACACCATAATTTTTTTCCAAGTTGAAGTTATAAAAGATCATTAATACATTTAAGATAGGCGTTAATTTTGGTTGACGCCCAGCTTAAGGCTTAATGTAATAAACAATTTAAAATATTAAAAATGTATAAAATAGGGTTTATATATTTTTTAAAAAATGATTATAAAAACTAAAAACTTATCAAATGCAAGGTAAATATTTAAGTTTTGGGTGAGCAAGGCTAAATTTGTTTTATATTAGGACAAAACTAAGTTTTTGTATTGGTGTGACTGCAAAACATGCCAAAAAATAATTACTTTACCGTCTTTATCATCTAAGTGTGTGTAAATTTTCTTATTTATTGCTGTTTGATCTTTCGGAATATTAACGTTAAATTCAAAAAACGATTTTAATCCAAATGCATTTTTGTTTAATTCTTTTCCAATACTTACTACAATATGTTTGACGCCGTCATTACGAGTTTGAGTTAGTTCAACAAGCAAAAGTTTTCTCACTTCGATCTTATATGGATGAAGTGCTTGCAGCAGCTTACAAAATCTATCAACGTCATACACCTTATAAATAAGTATATGTCCACTTCCGGTACCAACCCATAACATATCACTGACTGAACACAAGCATGTTACCCTGAGATCAATATTAAGAGCATTTGGTGAATACCTCAAAATATCGTCGCGACAACTAAATGTATGTAAAATGCCTTTAGTTTCTTTTTTGTACACTTGAATTTCAGGACTACAGTGAAAAGAAATGAAAAATAATTTTTCATCAAACGAGAAAACAATATCTTTAACTTTACATTCAATATCTTCAAAACACTTGACTTTTTTCTTATCTTCACTTTCATTTAAATTGCAATATTTGAATGAATAACCCGATGACCAAATAAATGTTTCGGATAATAAAACTGAAGTTGTTACCGGAAATTTTTTTTTCGAAGAAATGGGATTAGATTTTTTTCCAATTAGATGAGAGTTTTTTAACATCCTTCCATTCAAAAAATTATTTAAAGTAACCTTGGAACAATGACCATCGTCAAACCCAAGACAAATCCAATCCTTATTAGCAGAGATTGAACGAATAAAACCATTTTTTATTTCGTAGTTTCTTAAAAAACTATAGCCCTTGGTTTTATAAACTAAAATGACATCATTACGACTTCGTAACAAAACACATACATGCTTATCACCAATAGGAGTAATGAATGATATATTAAACTTCCTTTTCATGTCTTCATATAACTCAATTTTTTTGACAACTTCAAAACTTTCCATATTGATTACGATAATCGATTGGTCTAAAAAATAAACTAATAAAAATAAATCAGTATAATTTATTATTTTGTGTAATTATGTATAATAACATCTATGTATAATCTATAATATTTCAACAAATTTGATTAGCACTGTTATAGAACAAAATACTAATTGACCCACATGTATCAATGCCATAGTTTTTATTTGATTTTAAAACATGACTGTTGCATTGGAATGATGACAGTAGCATAAACTGATGACTGTAGCATTGAAATGTAGCTATAAATCTGCGCGTTATACTTTTCAAAATCTATAGTACAGCATATGGATTAAAATATAGAATCTTAATATAATGGCGTTTTCAAGACAAAAAAACAGTGGATGAATAATCGCACAGAGGAAGGATGATGGGGATAAAATAAAACACAGTAGATGAATGATCATCCTCAAATTTATCAAAACTAAAAATTCAAAGAAAATCTGTTAAGATCTTATTTTATTGTTAATTTAATTTTCTCAAATAATAAAAAAATAAATTTACCTTGGTTCATCAATTCTTGCAAAATAATTCAAATATTTGTATATCGTTTTCTGAATTTATTTTACTACTGGTTCAATTCATCTAAATACTGACGTGATCATGAAATAATTCGTTTATTTTGATCATGAACAATTAGTAAGATTCTTGTAATCTTTTTAATATATATGCGTTATTTACAATTACCTAATTATTTACAACTTGGTAAAAAACTTGAGGCAAAGTCAATTAATATATAAGACAGCCTAATCATTACACTATGTAAGAAATTTTCACTTTTGTTCTGTTCCTGGGTTGAAAGTGGTTTCCCAACCCGTTAGGTCTAGAACAGAAAGAAAATCGCTGTTATTCCAAAAACACTTTGCTTCTGACAATGCGGGACAATGAAATTGTCACTCAAGCACTCTAAAATGTTCAAAAAACTTCCAGAACTTTCGAGAAACTTTCAGAACTTTCGAGAAACTTTCAGAACTTTCGAGAAACTTTCAGAACTTTCTAGAACGTTTCAAAACTTTCAAGAACGTTCTTTAACGTTCTAAAAGTAGCTGTACAAGTATAAAAGCACAGGTGTCTCAAAAGCACAGGTGTCTCAAACCAACATACTAATTGCAGACTGGAATAATATGAAGCAACAGTAATAGATGAAGAGAAATTATTTATTTGATATGGCATCAAGAGGTTGTTTGCATTCAGCTGATTCATTCTGCTACGTGTGCAGACAATTAATCAAGACAATAGCGAAAAAGTATTTTCTTAAACTTCAGGAGACAGCAGCAAGTCAGATAGTGAGGCAGATACTCGAGATACGGACTACAATTTCGCAAAAGAAGTTGGGGGTAGAAAGCCGTACTTCCCTAACCAGAAAGATGTAAACAATTTAATTAGGGACCTCAGGCTTACAAAATCAAATGCTGAGCTTCTGATATCCTTCGACTACGTGCGCAGACAATTCACTAAGACTAGAGCGGAAAAGTATTCCGCGGAGGCAAATCATATATGGTGCGAGGCCTACAAAGAATACTTCGGCATGCCGGTCGGGGACCAAGACAAATCTTGGGCACCATATTTCACATGTGAATATTGCAAAAAAACACTTGAAGTTAAACTGAATAGTTGCTTCTCGCTTAGATGTGTTTAAATTTATTTTCATAAAATTTTAATGCTTTCGATCTAGTTCATTTCTAGTTGTTTTAATTTGCGAAGTTTTGGAAATTTTTGTTTTTAATGTGGGTAAGATTATTTGAAATATTTTTCACACAGATTACATTGTGTGTAATGTGTGAAAAATGTTGCACAATACATACAATTCCTATATACTACACAAAAGGAATTTTTTTTGTTTATGAATGTTCTTTACAATGCTTACATAATCTTTTTTTTCCATGCATAGTTAGACATCATTTGAGTCATAAAACGTTTTAAGGAAATCTTTTTCATCATTTTATCATTTTGTAAGACCTCATACAATGGAGAAATTGCTTATAATCCTTTTTCGTTAAAAACCCTTCTTTTCCTTCTATTTTCTAACTTCAAAATAATTTTTTTACTTCTGAATGCAAACAGAACAACACAAAATGTTATTTTTGCATCATAAATTGGTATAACAACGAGTTCGCCATTTTTTAATGCATTTCCATTTTTTAGGTTGGGAAAAGGTTACTTTTTGCAATGTTTTAATAAAATATTATATAACACAGATAAGATATATATTTCAGCTATATATTTATTATCTGTATTTTATGGTATTTCACATGATATTTTAAGTAATAAGTTTATAAAATATATTTTTCATACTTAATTTAATTATTAAAAGTGAATGCAAAATGTGGGTCTGGGCAACCAACAAAAAAAACAAAAAAAAAAACATAATATTATAACTAGACATCAAAGTGTAAGATATACTGGGCAACCAAATGAACTACCTGTTAGTGACCTCCCAACATATAAACAGATTATTCAATATGCCTATAAGGTCAAAAAAGAAATAATTACACCTGGAAAAATTGATTCTCCTGCCAAAGTTTTAAAAGTAAGTGAAGAAATTTTAAAAAATGTGAATCCAAATCTTCCATTAGTAAAGGAGAAATCTTTAAGAAATAAGAAAACCAAGAATATTTCAAAAAGTAATTGCAGCTAAACGATCTAAAGCTTAAAAATAGAAAGTTTGTTAATTGGAAAATAACCTTTTAAAGTTATTTGATATATCAGCATACAGATGAGTGTAAAAGTTACCCCACTCAAGGTTGTTAATGACATAGCAGAACAAGGCATTACTCTCATCCAAAGTAACAACAGTGCATTGACAAAGAATGAGACTAAAAATATTATTTATTACAGCTTGTTAGCAGCCATTAGAAGCAGTTTCCTGCTCCAACTAAAGGAGTGGCGATAAATGTCAATAGATAACTTCTGGTAGATACTAGATATTAGTACCGGTCAGCGTTTAATGTAAACTTGATCAGAAATTTATATATTTTTTCATAAACAACAGTATTACCCACACTAAATCAGTATTTAAAAATAATTACATGATATTTAAATATAGATACATGGCAATTCAGTTAATATTATATGTGATAAAAATTAATACTAAAAAAATGAGAGACATTTCTTTTTTTATAGTTTAATTAAAAATGTGTATATATATATATATACATACATTCATATATACATATACATATACATACATATATATATATATATATATATATATATATATATATATATATATATATATATATATATATATATATATATATATATAAATATATATATATATATATATATATATATATATATATATATATATATATATATATATATATATATATATATATATATATATATATATATATATATATATATAAGACCATGGCAAGATAAAGAATGCCTTAAATTTTCATTTTTTCACTTGGTGACAGTTTCAAACTATATAGAGACACTGAAAACACCATTTTTGTATTAATGTGAAGCTTTGATTGTTTATGTCAAATAAACAATCAAAAGAGACAAAAGATTGTAAATAAAATACTATTGCTAAAACATTTTGTGACAATAAATGAAATAACTTCAAAAAAAGAAAGGGTTGGATTTTGGTAAATCTATATTTCTAATGCTTCCTGAAAAAACTATAAATAATTTAACTAATTTTATTGGTAAAGACTTCTTAGTATTTTTCACCATTATAAATATAAACAGTAGTTTTCTCAAGGAACCGGTTACAGAATGGCAAAAAAAGTTTTCTGTCTTTTAAAAAATGTTATTTCTAATGTGTTATATATTGCAGTGATAAGAAAGAACACACTCAATTATAAAGAAGTTTTTCTTTTGGGGTAACTCTGCTCATTATTATTTTCTTGACCAAGTGTGACCAATGTAAAAACAAGTGTGACCAATGTAAAAACACCGTATGTTATCTCTAAGTATCTGTTTTAGATGTTCTAATTTCAATTAAGGTTACAGAAAAAGAAGAAAAGGCAGGTCTTATAAACATTGAGGAATTTAAGGAGAAATTGAGGAAAGGCTCCAAAGCAACATGCTAAATATTTTGCATTTTTATCTCCATTGACATTATTTAATGAACAGGAAAACTCATCTTGATCTCACTCATTAACTTATCTGTTTTGTAATGGATTTAATATTTGATTTCCAAGAAAGATCGGAAGCAAGAGTTAATCCTAGAAGTTGAAGAGTAGATGACTCATTGAGTACATTACCGTTTATAAATATAGGAAGATCTAAATTATTCAATAACTATTGGCTGAAAAAAATTTAGTTTAATCTAAACTAAACTTCACCAGCTACTGTAAGCCATGCTGTAACAGAAGTGAGATCCTTTTCAAGCTTAAATGCTCTTCCAAGCAATCAGAGAGTTTTGGCTTCTTGTCATGACAAGAACAAATGGTAGTATCAACAGCGAATAATGCCACCTTCAATGTGAGAATATCCAGAAAATCATTAATGTAAATTAAAAAGAATATAGGGCCTGAGATAGAACCTGTCCATCAAGGACAACTTTTATACTACTATTGGTAAGAATGGATTCAATAATCTTAAATATGTTACCTGATACACTGTAAGAAGAAAGCTTATGGAGAAGACCAGCATGCCAAACTTTATCAAAAGCTTTAGAAATGTCAAGAGCAATAGACTTAACCTCTTTACCTCTATCTAATGCACAATAAAACCTATCAGTTATTACTGTTAGCAAACCTGCTGTAGAATGAGAAGATCAAAATTCATATTGATATTGTTTTTTTATTGAAGATCAATAATTATTGAATTATTGAAGATCAAAATTCATATTCATATTCATATTGAATATTCATATTCAGAAACCATGTTATTAGATTTAAGATAAGAGGTTAAGTGTTTGTTAATTAAAGACTCAGAAACCTTGCTTATGATAGGAAGAAGACTAATAGAACAGTAGTTAGACGAGGGATAACAGATGCCACTTTCCAGCAGGCTGGAAAACAAGACTGCCAAGCAATGGATCAACCTGTTTGTTGGCTATATCAGGTAGATACAACTAGTAGAATCAAGAGATAATATTAATTAAAAGCTTATAGTAAACAATTCAGCTTTGACTTTAGGTGAGATAACAAAACCTGAACCATACAAGAGAGGTGAAATAACAAATTTGCTCTTATTATTAATACTGTTTAAGATTCTCCAAAAGTCACAAGAGCCTAGTTTTTTAGATGAAAAATGAAATTTTGTGGCCTGAGAATAGCAGGCTTTGGCATAAGACAAAACCTTTTTACAATGGTTTCTAACAATAGTAAACAGACTTCTGTTTTCTGAAGAATTGTTTCTAATAGATATGTAAGTAAAGGTTACGATTGCAAATTGCAGCACAATGTGAGGAAAACCATGGAGAAGAGTGAGATGGAAAATGAGTTGGAAAATTGATTATTTGAGTTAGAGCTTGAGAAAGGCAAAAGTTATGGGCTTTAATCCCTGTAGAGTCACTGACACTAGAACCAAGCCATTAAATGTGATAAACATTAAAGTCACCAACAACAACAATATTGGCTGATGGATAAAGAGAAAGGACTTCATCAATTTGATCAGAAATAACATTGAAAAGAGTGCATTCTTAAAATGGAGGAGAGCAATATAGAACAAAGAGAAAGGCAATAGAGTGAAGTGAAGCTAAACGAAAGCACATAAAAAAAAGTTTCCTGACAAATGAACGAATTCTTATGAATGTAAATACCCAGGCCCAGCAGGTGACTATTGAAGTCTTTACGAATTGAAGTAAGATAACCATCAAAACTAAGATTACAAGATGAGACAGCTAAACTCAAATTAGTTTCACAAAGAGCAAGTAGGTCTGGTGAATTTTGTAAGAGATAATACTCAACAAAACAAAATTTACTTCCCAGACCACAAAGATTAGTGAACTTGGTGATGACAATGTTTTTTTGTGTTTTATAGCTTTTGATACTTTAGTCATTTTTTAAATTTGTTAAAGAACTTGACTCAAAGCACAGATAGTACTCAGTACACTATTTAATAGTCCAAGCAATTGCCTCATTATTACTATAAAACCCTGAGCAATAACAAAAGGCTCCAAATGTGACCTTGACAATGCACACCTTCTATCACTATCTATGCGCAACATGGCACTGTTAGTACTCTGATATTTTACAACTGTTGATGGAATCAGTCTCTCTGAGAGCTACCACAGAATTTGGGAAGCCTGACTACCAGCTGGCCTCAGAACCATAGAACTGAGTTTTAGAGCTGTACCCTCATTAGGAGAAAATAGAATGAGGTACAAGCAAAACACATGCATTGAGTCAAGAAGATTTAGCATTCAAGATTCTAAACTGGAAACAATGTATTACAAATACATCTGCGCCAGCCAAATAGATGAATGTATTTCATCTTATTACCTTCAACCTAATAGATAAATGTATTCAACCTAAATACAAAATTAGCCAAACCATATAACAAATTAAAAATAGTAAATGATAAAAATCAAATTAATTAAAATATTTCTTTTTCTGAATTTAACTTTTTGCAGACAGTACCAAAGTATTTTCAGACCAACAAGATTTACTAACTTCAAGATTTACAGTACCAAATATTTTAGTTCTTGTATTGTTATCTATTTGAGTTTTGTGAAATTTAAAAAAACAACTGATTACTATATTGGAAGAGTAATAAAATAATGTTATCTTCTCAGCCTTTTAAAAACACTTTTTAAATGCCTAATTATAATAATAAACTATTTACATGAAAATAACTATAACAAAAAAAAGAAACAAAATAAATCAAATACTGATTAATGTGAAATTTGATGGTAACACTCTGAAGGAAAAAAAATTAAAAATCAAAAATGTATACTCGGAAAGTTGAAAAGTAATATGTTTCTGCATAATTTGGATGTTTCAAAAATTTTTATATAAACAAGTTATAAAATAATAAAAACATGTATTTTATTTAACAGTTTATTTAATGTCTTATAATGTTTTTTAATTCAGCTATTGCTGATAGTTCAATAGTATTTCTATATATAGTTTTTTTAGTTGTTCCTTTTTGTTGTTACAACAAAGCTTTTTTGTTGCTCAAAATAAAGCTACACAAGTTGCTAAAAGGTTTGTTGCTCACAATAAAGCTACACAATTTGCTAAAAAAATTGCTAAAGAAAAGATGAACAAGTAGCCAATAAAACTGTTCAAGAAAAATAGAAGATTTAAAAGAGAGGAAAAAAAAACATTTGAAAACTTAACCAACCTCCTGAAAACAGACTAAAAAAGATATAGAATTAAGAAATGTCTCCTAGCCAAAAATTTTAAAAAACTAATATCACAAGACAAGAACTTATATATAGATAGTGAATAGACTGTACCAAACAATGTTATATTCATTTTATATTTAAAATTCTCAATTATTATTTAGGTTTTCTTAACACTCTAGAAGTTAGCTCCTTTGTACAGTTCAATTAAAATTCAATGCAAACATTTATTGTAATAACACAACATTATTTGTATTAAACAACATTTTTTGTAGAAAAATAAAATTTATTATGATAAAGTAACATATAGCAATAAAACAACATTTCTTGTTAAAGAAAAAATTATTTATTATTATAAAGTAACATTTATAATAAAAAAACAACATTGTAATAAAACATCATTTTTTGTTATGAAAAAACTTTTTTTTTGTAATAAAACAGCATTTTCTATAATTAAAAAAAACATTTTTATTTTAGAAAATGTTGTTTTATTTTGATTTTTATAAAACAAACAAAAGAGCATTTATTATTAAAAAAACTATTTTACTAAAAACACTATTATTAAAAATAACATTATCAATATAATAAACAATTAATGTAATGAAACAATTTTGTAATAAAATGGTAAAGAAACTTAACACAAACAATATTATAAATAAAATAACTATAAAAAATTAACCTTTTTTGTCTTCACTTGTTATCCAAAGTTCTTTACTACTGGTGATATAACACAGTTCACGTGGGTATTCTCCAGAAGCTAACCTTTTATAACCAAAAATTAATTGAAAAGTTGAAGACAACGTATTAAGAACATCATTAGCATTTGGTCTTTTGGACGGTTCTTGATTCCACATGGTTATCATCAACTTGGTTAAATTAACCAACCCGTAACATGCATCAGGAACGTTATAAAATAAAGGTCGAGATCCATTTGTGACTTCATTATCAATTTCCAATTCTTTAACATGATAAAAGGGTTTTTTAAATGCAACCAACTCATAAATAACCATACCAAACGAATATATATCAACACTAGATGTGTATTCATCCCAAAATAATTTGTGTGAAATCATTTCTGGAGCAGCATAACCTTTAGTACCAAAAAATGTTTTTAAACCACTTGGACTCATGATGTTCGCTGTTCCAAAATCAGTTAACTTGATATTAATTTTTGCTTCGTGATTAAGCGAAAATAATAAAATATTATCTGATTTTATATCGCGATGAATAATACATTTTTTATGCATAAAAACTAAAGCACTTGCAATTTGCTGGCAAATTCGAAACTTAACAATTCTGGGAATAACTTTGGTTTTGGATTTATCATAAATGACAGATGATAAAGCACCATGACTAGCACATTCCATCACAGCACACAGTTCTGGCTTCAGTAAGAAACCTAAAAATTGAACAATATAAGGATGATGACGTAAATTACTGAGCATTACAATTTCTTGTCGAATTTCGTAAAATTGATTCAATAATGATGAAAGTTCATCCGAATTGTTCATCTTGAAGTTGTAAAATTTTATTGCAGCTCTAATTTTGTTTTTACATAATCCATTATAAACTTTTCCAAACTGTCCGTGTCCCAGTTTGCATTTTTCATTTTTTTCACATTGAATATCATTGGGATTAAATTTCATTGTTTTCGGTAAATCTTGAAATGTAAGATCCGGACAAAACTCTGTTATATTTATTATTCTTGGTTCATGTTTTCGTTCACAAAATGCATAACAACTGCAGTCTTTTGAGACTTGGAGCATTTGTTGAAAAGCAGTACTTATGTTAAACAAATGAGGTGGATTTATGCCCAAGCTTGTGCATACAGGACATGCCAGAGAAGAAATTACATGCGGTTCATTGTGTGACATTAACAAACCTTCAAACCATTCATTTAAAAGTGTTCTAATATGATCAACAACATAGCTGAGAACACGATAACCGATAGAGGATTTAGTTACACATATTTCAATTGTTTTTCTATCTGCTTTAAATGAGTTAGGTAGCTGTTGTATAGAAAAACACAATTGTGGGTGATTAAATATAATTCCTTTATTCCAGCAACTTAAATAGCCATTGTCCAACAGATAAGCTAGTTCTCCATAATCATTAAAATGTTCTTCATAATCTTCATCATTATTGGACAGTTCATTTATAAGCTGAGATTCAAGTTCATCACTTTCTTCTTTTTTTTCCTCATTTGTACAATTATAATCTTCACAGTCTTGTTTTGAAACTATTTGCATGCTAGCATCAAAATAACCAACACTATTCATTTCAGTTGCCATTTGCATATGACCAATAGTTAGTGGATCACAAATTTGTTCACAAACTTGTTCAAAACTACTCCCACAATTATCTGAGATTTTACAGTTCTGATCAGATCTACTTGAGATGTTACAGTTTTGATCAGAATTAAGCTCAGCTCTTATTACACTATCTGATTGAGAATCTGTAAAGTTGATGTTTTCTACTTCATTTTGATTTTCATTGGCTGCAACAACTAAATTTGTTTCTATTTTTACAACTCCATTACATGCAATTACCTCATTTTTATTTGTTTCAAGATAAAGAATTGTGCAGCTTTGAAGCTCTTCGGATACATTCATGACATTGATAGGATGTTGTTCAAAAACATCAGTTTTACAAACTTTAGTAAAGTAACTATCTACAGTATCAAGAACTTTATTAATTATTTCGTTAACAACATTATAAATGTAATTATTAGAATTGTAATCAATGCCATAGTTTACACCATTAATATTATTGCAATCATTATTACCATTATTCAAATCATTATTAACATTACTATTTATTCCATTATCAAAATCTTTAAAAGCAACATTATTAATGTTATAATTAATGGCATTAGTAACAAAATTATTGATGCTGTTATTTAACTCATTATTAACGCCACTATTATTAATGCCATTATTATCAACGCAATTGTTGATATCATTATTTAAATCATTACTAATGCCATTAACAAAATCACTATAAACACCATTAGTGATGCAATTATTGAAATCATCATTAAAATTGCCATTAATATGATTATTAGAAATATTGTCTTTATTACAGCATTGTTCAAAATCAATTCTTTCTGTGTATGTTTGATGCTTTTCATTTTCATTACTTAGTTTATTTATTTTGAACTCTTCTCTATTAATATGAAATTCTGAATTAAATTTATTTTTTAAAACTGTAACATCAGTGGATGATATAAAGGTTAGACATTTGTGTGAATTATTTGGCATTTTTTTACTACAATCACTATTTAGTTCTTCGTTTATACAATTGTTACAATTGCTTGAACATTTACAAGGAGCAACAGCTTTTATATCAGAGTTAATAAAAAACCCAGCTGAAACAATGCTGCTTGAGGAACTACTTGAACTGATGTTTTTTGATTCATTTGATGATTCAGAGTTATTTGGCACACACTTTATTGGATAGCAATGTACTAAATTATCTACATTATTAGAGACAGTAGAGTTGTTTATTAATGGTTCTTTAATGCTAGATACTTGTTGAGTTGAATCAATTTGACTTATAGCAGAGTTAGTTTTGAGAGAGGTTATAACATAACGAATATTCGAAGAGCTTGCTTCATTAATCTTAAGAGGTATCTCATCCTCATTATAAATAGTGTCTACCGCATCTTTTCGTAAATTGCTCCCATGTAAAGAAACTTTGGGCTTCATTTCAATATTTGGTTTTGGTGATAACATTTCTTTAGTCATTGATAAAAAACGAGTAATAAATCGAGCCCAAAAACCATCAGGTATACAGCTAAAGAAATAATAACGAATGAGTAGACTACTTTGATTAATCGACAGATGATTTGGATTGTATTTTGGAAGTTTTGGTGGAATAAGAACTCTATGATCATCAATCTTGCAAGCAACTTGGAATCGTGATAATAAACTTATACATATCTTTATCAAATCAGGATTTTGATGACCTAATTCTTCTTTTAAAATCAACTATAAAAATTAAAAAACAAGTTTTTAAAGAATAATGCAATTTTATGTTTTATGTTTATAACATTGCAATGTCAATGAAATTTAACTTATTATATGTGTTATATATGCAGTAGTGGTGTAGTAGTAGAGCGCTCGCTTCATAAACGAGTGGTTCCGAGTTCGATCCCCACCACGTCCCTGGTAGTACCGCGCTCAACTCGTTTCTCCGCGCAGTGGCCTTGTTCGTCAAGGTTCGTGTTTCGGAGTTATAGAGTTGAGAGAGGGTCATAGCCACAAAATAAGTAGCCTCCTCGTTTGTAGTGGCCTTCTCGGCCTTGAGGAGGTGAAGAAAAATTAAAAAAAAAAAAAAAAAAATGTTGTTGCATTGCTAATGCAATTTTATTTAAATGCAATATTAAAAGTTAATTTAAATGCAATAAAAATGTTATTATTGTCATCCTGATAATGCCAATCTTGTTGACTCAAGAATGCCAATTATATGGAAAGATAGAGTACACATCAAGATGCATAATTTAAAATTTACATGAGTATTTTCAAAATAAACGGTTACATAAGTATTTACAAAATAAACGGTTGCATGAGTATTTAGAAAATAACATTTAATTAAGTTAATTTTTATATAATAGACCAAAATATTGATTTGCTATTTAAAGGGTGGTTTGTCTTGTATTTATACTCTAGGGGAGAGTGGTACTGAATGGACCTTGTACTGAATGGACCATTAGAAAAATAAAAACTTAACAAGCTGTTAATTGATTTTTTTTAATTACATATAATTTTTGTATACTCAAAGTTTTTTTGATATTTTTGGTTAAACGTTATTCGTAATAATGCATTAATATTTGTATTTTTTGTTTTTTTCGAGCAAAAAGTAAATTTTTATCTTTTCAATTTGTTTCAATTTACACTAGATTTTTAAGGTAAAGTTAACTATAGTTAATAATAATATTATAGATACATATTTTTTACTTTGTATAACATTAGATTGAATGTTATATGATTTACTGATTGCTGTGATTATATGGGTAACATGTACATTTTGATTAGTGTACTGGATGAACCACCATTGATTGTACTGAATGGACTGGTTCATTTTTCTGCAAAGTTATTTATCGTGCTTTAGTATGTTATTTACTAAAACAAAATACACAAGTTTTTTCATCTAAATGAACTAAGGAGGTGTGAGTTAGGAAATAAACCAAAATATCTAGTTAACGAAGACTTAAGGGCTCAAGTTCAATTATTCATTATTTAATGTAATATTAAGGTAAGCAGATAATATAATATTAAGTTAAGCAGACTAATAGCTTACATATTAGGTTAATAATTATTAATTTGTAGTTTGTTTCATTATTTCAATAACTGAATGTCATAATATTATTACGATATATAAATAAGGTGGTTTTACTTTTAATAACATCTAGCATATAACATTATATATACTATATATTATAAAAGTTATATATACTATATATAATAAAAGTTATGCTAGATATGTTATATGGCATATAATATGCTAGATAAGCTATATGCTAGATATTATAACATATATGAAATGTTATTTATACGTTTTTAAAAACAATGACAATTACCATGGTCAGTAATTTTTACAATACAAAAAATCAAGTAATATCTAATAAAACCAAAAATAAAATTTCATAAATTAATTGTTATATTTAAATTACTAAAGCTTGTTAATCATAATAAAAAAATTATTTTACATTCATATGTGTAAATATTTTACATGTTATATGTGTGTGTGTGTGTTTAGATAATTAAATATATATATATATATATATATATATATATATATATATATATATATATATATATATATATATATATATATATATATATATATATATATATATATATATATATATATAAAATAGCATCGATAATTTTTTTTTTATAATATGGTTATAAACAAGTTTTATTTATTTCAGAAGAATTATGAGACATCGAAAAGCAACAGCACTAAAAGGTGATTGGGATCCCAATAATATGATCCAAGCAGTTGAAAATGTTTTAAATAAAACTCTATCTGAAATAAAAGCTGTTGAGATATTTGGAGTCAAATGTTCAACTCTTAAGAGGTGAATAAAAGAAGCTCGACTATCTCAAAATGGATTGAATAAATTGCAATGTGTTCCTGCAGTTTCTGCAAAAATGGGATATGGGTTAAGTCCTATTAAGCTAAGAGCACTAACATTTGAATATGCTCTCAAACTTGAGAAGAAGTGTCCACATTCTCGTTGAGGTTCTGCTAAACCTTGGGAAACAAATAAACATGCAGGCTTGGGCAAAAGTATCAATGCCAGCTAACATCATTAGTGGTTTTTCAGTATCTGGAATAAGTCCTTTTCAACCTGATCGGTGGAAGGATGAGGATTTTTTTTTTATCTTAGGTTACAAATAGACCCAATCCTGAAACACTAAACATCAATTCAGTGTCATTAGAAATTATTAGACCTAATCCTGAAGCACTTAACATCAATCCAGTTTCAGTAGAAGTTATTAGACCTAATCCTGAAGCACTCAACATCTATCCAGTTTTAGTAGAAATAAATAGAAATGTTAAAGTCAACAAAAATGTTAGCAATACCCTGAATGTGAAAAGTATACGCCCTTATCCTTCTGCAAAAGCTTGTTTAGAAAAAACCAAAGGTGCTCGCAAAAAGCTCTCCTCTTCGATTCTAACTGATACTCCAATTAAAGAGGCTCTTCGAAATCAACAACTTCAGCAAAATTTAAAAAAACAAAACTTTTCTGAAAAACAAAAAGATGCTAAAAATAAACGTCAAAGGAAATCAAGAAAGAAATCAAGCAACTCAAAAACTCTAAAGTTTCCATTAATGACATATAATAATGATGAGGCTGATGATATTCTTGTTGAAAAAAATGATAATGGTGTCAAAGATAGTTTAAATTTTTGTGGAGGTATTACATCAAACTACGATTTGGGTGCAATATGTGAAGAAATGGGTCGTGACAACGAAGTGTGGTACCGTTGCAGACAGTGTGCGAGCTGGGCACATAAAGCTTGCACAAGTGCAGATAATGCCAGCCAATATGTTTGTGATTATTGTAATTTGATTATCTGATTGAGACTTCGGTCTAAAGTTGTATTAATTAATTTAGAAATATCAATGTCTCAACATACTTCTTTCTTGTTTTTAAACTCTATTTATCACCCTAATTGCTTTGCATAATGTTAACCTACCATAAATCTATAACCAGTTAACCAATCAGGCTATCATTTTATCCAGACTTTGGTGTAACCATGGGCTACATTAGCATAAGTTTATATTAAATTATAGTTAGTTGTTCTCATTTTACAGGTGTTTTTAATGGTGCACTATGAAGTCAAAAATTCAATCAATTTGAACATTCAAATTAAATTTTTTTCTGCTGACAAAAATAAATGATTTCAGAAATTTTATCACAGGATGCCTGTTTAAATTACCAGTCATGCATAATGGTCATTTTTTTTAAATTATTTTTGATCACAGAAAATGACACAAACCATCGATTTTTGAATTTTTTATAAAAAAAAATGACTGTGATCAAAAATGATAAAATAAAATGATATAACAAATTATGAAATAAAAATTTAATGATATAACAAACTGTTATAGAAAATGAAATAATATAACAAATTATTATACTAAGGAATAAGTACTTAAATACCCTATTCAGCTTTATATTGTTTTTAGCAAAATATTTCAAGACTTATCAAAGCAATAAAAAACTCCTCATTTACATCCAAAAAAAATATAGGTAGTATAGTAGTTTGGACATGCAGCAGGTATACCTGCTTCGTGTCCTGCTATCATGTAGGGTTTGCTTTTTCAAAAAAAACCTTGGAGAAATAAACTTTAACTTAGAATTCCTTTGGCAAGACGCTCTTGATTGGGTAAAGGCTAAAAATAGTGTCTCAATAAAAATACTCATCTTGGTCAAATGTTAACTGTGTTAACCTTTAAGAGTGGCTATGCAACTCTTCTTATTATCTCTTAATGATGGTACAGCTATAAAACAGTTTAATGGCTAAACAACAGCTTTAAAATAAAGTAATTAACAGTGCCTTGTTGCAAATGGATGGCGTCCTTTAAGAGTTAATTAGCAGGATTGAGACAAATGCATAGCTCGTTGCTATAAGCTACCTCATTAGCTAATCATATCTATGAATGAGTCAAGTTCTCTTGAAACTTAAACCATGCCCAAAGTAACCAAAAATGTTAAACATAAAAAACCATCACCATAACCTAACTGTTCTAATATATCTTGCACAAATATTTGAGGTTTTCAAAGTAACTTACAATCTTTTTCTTTAAACACACTCTATAATTGCAGAACTTACTACTACTCAAAGCTGATTTACTTTTCATGATTTTTTTCATGACGATAATGGGCTAATGTCTTTTTTCTCTCTGCCGATAGACATGCTTCTTACATAACCTCCTTGATTCAGGCAGAAAACCTCTAGTCCTTCTTGTTGGTTCATTCTTCTGCAGCATCTATACCAAATTGTAGTTGTTTTTTTTCTTTTTTCAAAAGAACAACTCTCTTGAGAACCAAACACATTTTCATTATTGCAAGACATCAATGTATAGTGATGCTGTCTGATGCTAAGCCCCATTATTCCAAGCTTAATAAGTCTTATGCCAGAAGTTAGACTCTAGAGACTTCTGGAAAATCTTTAAAAGCGTCATTGATAAAAATAATTCTAGCATTTAATTTTTATTTATAGGTCTAACCTCTCCCAAGGAGAATTCAGAACTATTTGCAAAGAACTTTTCTTAACACATAACTCCTCAATCTACTGGGCATACTCTTTCTACTATTTCAGTTAGACAGGTTAATGCATTGTTAGACATTCAAATTAGACCAGCTTCCATTGCTAAAGTCATATCTCAACTAAATTCTTTGACAGCTTGTGGTCCAGAAAACATAGCTTAACAAAAGTGTTTTCCAGAATAATTTTGTTCTGGAGAATACTTTTGAACACTGGAGAACACTGAAATTCTCCCTAAACTATTTAATAAGTTTGAATATTGTTTTCTTGCTTGCTGGAAAATGGCATATGTGGTTTTAATTTTCTCTGAAAAAAACTTGGAAAACGTTTTGACTCCCTCTAACTATTGTCTAATCTTTTTTTCTCAATCATCTACTCTCTTATTTCGATTGGGAAGATATTGAGTCTTTGATCAACAAACTTCTAACATCTTGAGACTAATAACTTACTGTCTGACAAACAATATAGTTTTTGATCTTCTCTTTCTATGTCTGACTTTATAGCTACTTTTACTCAAAAATTTTACCATGCATAAGATGAAGTTTGCGAGACAAGGGCTATTGCTCTTGACTTATCTGAAGCTTTCAATAAAGTTTGGCTGGCTTGTTTTCTCCAGTTAACTGCCTTACTAAAAACATCCTCGAAGACCTATACTCATTTTCATTTCCAGTCTCTTCTAGGGTACCTCAAGGTTCTATATATGGTCCTGTTTTGTTTCTTATCTACATATATGATCTTCCTAAAAATCTAATGTGGCTCTATTTATGTAAAATCTTCCTAAAAATCTAATGTGGCTCTTTATGGAAAATCATTCATTACTGACCTCTCATGGAAACCATGGAAACCATATATACAATCAATTGCAAAGTTTGTACTCTTCACTGTCGCATGGTTGCATGTTTTTATTGTATTTACCATTTTCTTACTCCTAATACCATTAAAAATCTCCTATTTGCCCTTGTATGGAATATTGTTGACATATTTAGGCTGGTTCTTCTAATGACGATTTCCTTCTTTTAGATTAATTTTAAAAACACATTTTAAAGGTAGTTGAACTTGGTATATCTGCCAACTTGGTATATCTGCCAAGCTTGAGTCTCTCTCTTATCTTTGTTGAACTTCTTTCTCTTTTCTACAATACTATCACAGTCGTTACTCAAAAGAGGTATCATTTCTAGTTCCATCAACCGAAACTCATTCTTGCTTGACTCTTTTGGATCATTTGAAATGTATAAAAAATGTCTTCAAAATTATGTTAACTTGGATCATACATTTTCTTAAGCGACTTTATCTTTTAATAATAATAGTAGACCTTGTTGACTTGTAACTTTTTTGAAATAAAAAGTAACAAAAATATTGTAAATAATTATTTAATAGAAATATATTTAAAACATTTTTTTATATTAGTTCAACATTTGCTTATATTAGTTCAAGAAATTGCAAAAAACTTATATTTAATGTTCAAGAAAAACAGGCAATAATAATAAATTGCACATAAAATCTTTTATTTTTCAGTTACTTTTAAAAAATATATTCATCAAGGACAAGAAAACCATTAGTAAAGGAAGTAAAGGAAGTAAGAAATTTTTTTCTTACTTCTTTTACTTCCTAAAAAAAAGAAAAAGTAAGAAATTTTTTTCTTATTTGTTCTTTTTTTTCAACCCTGTTATTCTGTAATACAAAGTTTGACAGCTGTGTGGAAAAACAAGTTGGAAAAAAGAAAGATTCTTTTAACTTTTTTTTTTAACTCAATAATTAAATTATTCCACAAGATTTTCTTTAGCTAATTTTAATTTTTGTTTATTTTATATTAAAGTTTGCGAAAAACACTTTGTAATAGGGAATTAAGTAGTAATGGGTATGCATAATGGAATAAGTAGGAAACAGAATGGAAAAATGGGGAAAAAAGATATGCATATACCTCTTACTTTCTTAGCAAAGAACTTATTATTTTTTAAAAAAGATCTTTGCTTTTAGAATAAGGATTTTATCTTCATAACACATCTTATAAAAACTTTCCAACCTTTCAATATGTTGATCTACAAAATTTACTTGAATTTGTATCAATTTTTAAGTAACAAAGAATTCAAACACTTTTGCGTCAACAAAAAAACTGATCACTCAAGCCATGCAAATTGAATATTTTTTTAAATTAAAACTTATATTTATTATTATTTGAAAATGAATATTTATTATTATTTTAATAATAATAAATATTAATTTTCAATTCTAGATGCTTTTTCAAATAAAGATATATCCAATTATTTTCCGGTTAAGCAAAATATATAAATTGATTGCAAAGTTAATATTATTTTTAACCATAAAATCTAAAAGGCATTATAATAAAGAGTTTAATTTATAATTAAATAAAAACTTCTATTATAGATGTAACTCTTGTTTTAAAATAATTTTCATACAATATTTTATTGGAGTATAGACACTCGTTGCCAAGTATTATGTATATGTATAAAACCATTAAAAACGAAACAAAAACAAAAACATAGATTTCCAAAAGGAAGTTGTGACATAACCTCCGTCATCTTGATTTAGACTGCTGTCTGAAGTTACACATTCATGGCATTGTATTTCAAATGCTTCCCTTACTTTTCTGTAAAAACTGATGACCTCTACTTTTAAAGTATTTTTATTGTTCCATTTAAAATTGCCATGACAATTTTTTGAATGCTCTGCTACGGCTGAATAATTCCATTTTCCTTCGTATGTATTTTTCTGATGTTGGTAAATGCGAGATGAGATTTTTAATTTTATCTCACCGATATAACAATTTTTTGCAGCAGCACTTAAGTTTGTACACACCTGGGTAAGAACTTATAGGAAGAGGAGGTTTATTTTTTGTAGTAAGTATATGTTGTAAATTTTTTGGGGATTTAAAGACTGGTGTGTAACATGCATTTTGGAAACTTTTTTTAACTTCGGGCTAATTCCTGGAATCTATGGTAAAGATTTTTTGATGAAATTGATGAATGTTGAGTTTCAATATTTAGTTTTTTATTATACAAATTTTCTTTAGTAGTTTTATATTTTCCATTTTTTATAACTATTTTCTACAAAAACATCAACTAGAAATAATAACTCTTGTTCGATATTATTATCAGAGCATAAATAGATAATATATAATAATATAAATAAATTTAATGCTTTATAAAAAAAATCCTTTGTAAACTCTTTTTATAATTTTTTGATCATGGCATGAGTTAGGTTTGATTTGGACATTAGTTATGGCATCTTCAAGGTAAACTTGAAAATCATGCATACCAGTTTTATTGTTAATAATAGTTATATCAAGAAAGTGTTGCATGTTATTTTCATTTTTGATTTCCATGGTGTACTGAATATTTTTATTTTGGTTATTAAGTAATATTAAAAAGTTTTTAAATGACTTTAAATGAATGTTATTAGAAATTGCTTGTACAATAGCATTAATTCCGTGAAATGCTAGAAAACACTCCACAACTACTTGTGTTCAAATAAAAAATAACAATGCAAAAGGCATATATCTAAAAGTGCTTTCATTTCATCAAAGGTAAAATTTTTATCTCACATTTACCAACATCAGAAAAATACATACAAAGGAAAATGGGATTATTCTGCTGTAGCGGAACATTCAAAAAATTGTCATGGCAATTTTAAATGGAACAATAAAAATACTTTAAAAATAGAGGTTAACAATTTTCACAGAAAAGTGAGGGAAGCCCTTGAAATATAACGCCATGAATGTGCATCTTCAGACGGTGTTCTAAATCAGGATGATGGAGCTTACATCACAGCTTTTTTTTGGAAACCTATGTTTTGGTATTTGAATGAATGAAACTATTGCATTGATTTGTTTTTGTTTTGTTTTTAATAATTTTAATATTTAAAAAATATTTTAAAAATACAATGATTTACTTTGACATATAAAATTGTATTAACTTAAAACACATTAAATTTAGGTAAAAAAAAGATAATAAAAATATGCCAGTTTTTACAATCAATAAATACATAAATTAAAAATGAAAACTAATTAGAAAAAGAAAAAAATATTATCAAAAATTGATGTTTTAAATCAACAAATATAAAAAAATTAATGACAATTTAATGAAACTGTTTAAATTAAAAACTATTTAATTGGTAAAAATAAAATAAACTATCAAATTAAAAACTATTCAATTGGTTGAATAGTTAATTAATTTTACTTAAATATACAAAGACTCTCTTAATGCCTAATAACTCTCTTAAAAACTCATCCTAATAACTCTCTTAACTTCTAATTTGTGAAAACATGGCGAGGCTTCTTATAATAAATTTAAACATCTACTCACTCGAATTTTGTCTTGCTCTAGGATACCATTTTTAACAAATGTATGAACAGCATCCACAGAGATGAATTTTGACATTAATTTGCAAATCCAAGATGGATTTAAAAAAACGATATCTCTCAATCCTTCATTTACATCATCAAAATAAAGAATAGTTCCTGTGAATGAAAAGTTAAATAAATTTAAAAATACTGAAATAAATTAACTTTTGAAATTAATGTAGTTTAACATTTAGCATTTGTAGAATTAGTAATAACAAAAGTTTTTTTTATGTTCGAGTTGTAAACATTTTGTATTTGCCAAAATAGTTATAAACGAACCCTAGGTAAAGCTCTTAACAAGTTTTTAAGCACAAATAAAAACCTTTTTAAACAAGGTTTCTAAATATTTGTTGTGTTAACACTAAAACGTCAAGTAAATTTATCAAAAAATAGAGGTCTCTATTGCACCAGGAAAATGGCATGTTCTTTTTTGGTATGAGTAAATTTTACATTTTCATATATATTTTCTAACATAAACGTACTTAATTTAAACATTAATTCAAAGCTACAAGTTAGTAAAGGTTTGAGACCAACTCCAATACTCCAGGCTTCCAAGACCAAAACTAAGACCAAGATTCCATGCTTCAAGACCAAGACCAAGACAGCAAAATATGACACTAGAGACACCTCGAGACCAAGACTTCAGTCGTAACACCTACATCACTGGTTTTCAAATATATATTATAGCATTCACTGAAAAATAGTACTTTACATTCATAAAAATAGCTAAAGCAGAACAGATTTGAACTAAAGCAGGACAAGCAGAAAGAGGAGTTTGGTCGGGAGAAATTTTTATATTTTTATTAGACTATAAATAGACTAAAATAAACAACTATGGTAACTATGGTAACTAAATGTAAATTACTTCAAGTATTTTTTATCACAAATTAAAAAGAATCAATATTGTTTAAATAACTAATGTGGCTTTATTACTTCTTGCTATACAATTCAGTTAATTGTATATTTATTTTGCAGTCATGTTATTTGAAATTTGTTATGTGTTTTGTAATTTGTCATTATTTATTTATTTATTTTTCATTTATATGATCTTTATATTATTTAAATTGTACAGCAATGAAGAAGTATATAATAGAATTGAAATTTGGAGTTGAGATATTGCATTCTGCATATTTTTCTTTTTATGTGCTTGTATTAAAGGATCTTTGAGTTTTATTTAAAAAATTGTTTTGACAACTTTTTTGATATGAAACATTTATATATATATATATATATTTTACATGAACATAAAATAACAACATAAAAATATGAAAAAATTGTATTTACTTTTACTATTTAGTTTTAGATCTAATGAATGTACTTAAGCTAATATTTGTATAAAGTATATTAAATACAGCTATAATTTAATATGGTATTTTTTTTATTTTTAAATTTCTTAAATTAATTCAAAAATAATGTCTAAGATTGAAAATTTATTTAATTTTCAATCTTAAGACATTAATTTCACTTTTTAAGTTTCTACTTTCTAGTTTTGAAGTTTATTAATTTAATTTTTTTACACCCTTTATCTATTAGTTTCATTCCAATCTATTTATTTTATATATATATTTATCTATATATTTACCATTAGTTTTATTCCAATCTATTAGCATTATTATTCCTTTATTCAATTATTTATCAAATGGTGCATTTCAATTGAGTTTTGTGAATGCGGCAAGTTTTTTTTTTTTATTAAAAGGTTTATAAACTTTATTTCTTATAGATCATAGAAGTAATTACAGAATGAGAATGTTGAAAACAGTTATGAATAACACCATATCATTATCAAGTAAAAATTTTTCTTTTACTTATTATTTAAATTATTTTAATACTTTTATTTACATAAATACTTAAATAGTTAAACCAAAAATAATCTTCAAAAGTTAATAAACATTGTCATACTATCAATCTGAATATTATTAAATTGATAAATTTGCAAATTACTTAATAATAAAATAATTTTGTCACTGTTGCAAAACTTACTCATTATGGACACTGTTTCCCAATCAATACACATAGTTATTGACTAGTTTAGTGAGCAGTGAACTTGTAGACAGTATTTCTTAATCTCAGTTCTATTAATGTTTGCAACAAAAATTCATTCATTCCATCTGAAGAAATCTGTTAGTGTAAAGATCTCTAATGAATTATCTCTTGAAATATAAGAGTATCATATGAATTATAAACCTTTTAAATGGTAAGATCCCTGGTGAATTGTAAGATCCCTGGTGAATTGTAAGATTGATATTGATGAATTATCTCTTGATTTATAAGGGTGTTATATGAATTATTATTTTTTTGAATTATATGAAATACAAACTTTTTGATTCTAGCATATAAATTTCAATAAAAAGTAGTTTTTGAGAAATAATTTTTGTTATTTAATTATTTTTATTATTTTATCATTTAATTTTTATTATTTACTATTTAACTATTTTGCAAAAAATTTTCCTGAAAAAGATTTTTGTTATGGTTTTTAATAATTAATTTTGATTTTGTTGTTGACCTTTGTTAAGCTAGTATTTAGGCTATAAATAATTTTAGAAAAATTAAGTAGTTATAATTCAGCAAATTTATGAAAACTAAAGTTAATAATTTTGTTACCAAATTGATACTTTATCTTGTTACCAAATTTGTTACTTTATCTTGTAGCTTTAAAGATCTTGATCCTAGACACTAAATTTAAAATTGCTACAAACCTAATTAAATACTAAATTTAAAATTGCTACAAACCTAATTACACTTTGGTCTACACATGGTATTTGAACATTTTTTGATAAAATTCATTTTGATAGCTTCATTCAAAGGTTATAATAATCAGAGTCACAAAAAAAAGTTTAAAAAAAAAAATGACACAAAGCATCTCTATCTAGGATAGCATTACTCAAATTTTCTTTAAATCATTAATCCAAGAGCTTATTGTTTATTCAAAATAATTTAAAACTTAAATCAAAGTAACTAATAGTTATACTTTATAATCCCACTATTAAAAAAACTACTAATAGTGGAATTATATAACCTATTAATAAAAGCAAATTATTGTTAAATTTTTAAAAACAAAAAATACTTATATATTTATAAGTATTTTTAAAATTAAAATCAATATTTTATGAAAAACTATTTTCACTATAACTGAGATTCTCTGACATTAGAAATTTATTTATTCAAGCCTATACACTGAAAAATATTAGTTTATGAATATGCAATTATTACAAAACTTTTCAGGAAAAAAAATATTGTAAAAATTATTGAAAAAATATTTAAACATAAATTTATAATAACAGATTACAAATTACTTAATAGAACAAAGATGAAAAGCAAAGATTTACGCAATTTTAATGAAGAGGTAACAGGAAGGTTACTTCACAAAGTTTATAAGACATTATTAGATAAGTATCAAAACTAATAAGATTGGCTCTCTATTATATTTTTCTTAGGATCTATGTTTTAGTCATGTTCTAAAATAGTGTTTATTTTGTAGACTCATTATCTTATTTTTACAATAACACTATTGAAAATAACTTTGAAATCAATTCTAGTTACATGCACAGAAAGAATAAAAATATTATTGTTTATGTATGGTTACAGTTTTTAATTTTAATTAGAACCTTCATGATATTGTTACCCTTAATCTAACTCATAACTGAAGCTTGCAATCTTAAGTCTTTAGTAAAAATATATTGTTAAATGATTTCTTTATAAAATATAATTTAGTAGAGTCTTTTATATAGTTGCCTTAGTTACAGTATTACTTAGTAACCTCAACCTGCTCACCTGTAATTTACTTTAGATGAATGTTTGCGTTGTATCTAAACCTCTTGCGCGTTGTTGACTCACCCATAAGTTACTTTATGTATGTTTGTGTTCTGTCTGAATCTCTGGAATGGTGTTGGTTCACCCTTAGGTTACTTTATATATGTGTGTTTGCATTCTGTCTGCACCTTTGACAAAATGTTTACTCACACGTAAGTTACTTTATGTATGTTTGTGTTCTGCTTAAATCGCAAAAACTGATGACTTACTCCAACTATAAAACCTACGCCAACCTTAGTCTTTCGTATTTTGTTAGATGTAGTGTTTTTCCTAATGCATTTCCGAAATGTCATGTCTGGTGCTTTAAAGTATTTTTACAAGAAGTAAATGCTATTGACTTCTCCAGGTCAAATCAGGTTCAGGATCATTATGATCACACTGCTACTGGTATCATGTAACTTAGTATTACCTGTCTCATACCTTGCTGCCTCAGAGGGTATGCATTTTTAGGCAAAGGCTAGGAGAAACAAACTTAAAACCAATTTTAAAATCCCCTGTCTTGGGGCTCTCAGTTGAGTAAAGGCTAGAGATAGTGTCTCAATAAAAATACTCATCTCGGACAGATGCTAACTGCATCAAGCTAAAACCTCTCTACCTTAAGGCTCTTAGTTGAGTAAAAGCATAATTTACTTTTTGTAACACAGGTTATAAAAAGTAAACTATTTTTGTAACACAGGTTATAAAAAGTAAAGTAATCCAAAATTTAAAACATAAAAAAACCTACTCACCAATAATCAAACTCTTTTAACAGTGTTAAAACATTCATTGAACAATAAGCTTTAGTGGCCATAGAGTTGCAGAGTTCTAAAGTGAAATGCCATGGTTCAAATTCTTGCGCTTCCACATTTTTTTAAAAATCTTTTTTGGTTTTGTATCAGAATAAAATATTTTTGAAGTTTTATAAATAAATCAACATTAACATCAACATCAACGTTTTGGATCTTATTGTTAAAAATTCCTTTAGATCTTATTGTTAAAAAGCCATTAAATGTTGGATTTCTGTTCAGTGAAATTCATAGATTTAAGCGTGTATCAGAATAAAATTATATATTTTTATTAACATCAAGAGCAACTTTGCGGTTTTAATGAAACAAAAGTTTAGTTTAGCATTAACTTTTACATTACTACTCGGTGTAGTTAAGGCACTTTTAAAATATTATAGCGTCTGTATCATATTTTGTTGATTATGACATATTTCCGTGAAAATATCTTACTTTTTCATCTCCTTTTCTTAAAACTTATTCAGATCAGATCTTTTTTCTCTTACCTCGCTTTTATTTTAGTTTCAATTTTTTTGAAATTTTTTTTAATGAAATACTTGCAAATTTTTGCAGTTTTTTCACATTTACCTTTGATGTAAACTTTTACATTGTAAACAATTTGATTCATTGTAATTATATGAAACAGTTGTGACAGATTTTATTATGTTGTTAATTTTTTTTGTTTTCCCTAATCATTTACCTTCACTCTTTAATATATGTCTTATGTCTGATCTTAGCTTATGTTCAGTTTCTCCTTTTTCTCCTCTAGGTGGTTCTGACCATGCAATGATCTCTATAAATCTTTCATCTTATACTTTGTTTTCAATCATCACACTACCCTAAGGTTGACTGATTCTTTTTGTTATTTTCTTCATGATGGTCCTTGGACTGATGTCTTTTTTCTCTCAGCTGAATAATGCCAGGAAAAGAAACTTTTATTATTTCTCATTGGTTTTAAGTCAAGCCTCATTCTACTTCATGGTTTTAACCTTCTTGTGCAGCTGCTTTATCTAATCAAAAATATCTAATAGTAAAGAGTCGCTTGTTCTCTTCTCTCTTTTGTTCTCTCTTGAGAACAAAAAACTATTTACTAATGCAAGAATTCAATGTAAAAGGTGATGTCAGATGCTAAGCTCCATTATTTTCAGTTCACTAAATTTTGCATTTTATATCAGAAGTTAGGCTTTAGAAACATTTAAAATTTAAAAAAAAAGGACAAAGCAGAACTATTAGCAAGGTACTTTTCTTTTAATTCGACACTTGAATCTTATAACCATTCTCTTCCTTCCATTCCAATTAAACTGGTAAACTCATTATTAGACATTCAAACTACTCCAGCTTCCATTGTTAAAGTGATATTTTAATTAAACTCTTTTACAGCTTGTGGTCTAGACAATATTCCTGTCATAATTTTACAAAATTGTTCTCCAGAACCGTCTTCAATTTATCTAAACTATTTAATAAGTGCTTGACTGAGTCCTATATTCCTAACTGCTAAAAAATAGCATTTGTTGTTCCAATTTTCAAAAAGTCCAGAAAACATTTTGACCCCTCCAATTATTGCCTGATCAGTCTTCTTTTTGTTATTAGCAAGGTCTTTGATTCTTTGATCAACATGTTTCTTACATCCCATCTTGAGTCAAATAACTTACTGGCAGACAATCTATATTTTTTTGCTCTACTAGCTAACTACTGTGACTGAAAGATTTAATTGAACATTAGGTAGAGACTAGGGCTATTGGTTTTGACATATCTATAGCTTTTAACAAAGTTTGGCATGCTGGTCTTCTCCAAAAACTTGTTTCATATGGTGTATCTGGGAAAGTTTTTGAGATTATCATATGATTCCTTTCTAATTGCATTATTAGAGTCATCCTTGAGGGCCAACACTCTTCTTCATTTACAGTAACTTCTAGGGTACCTCTAGGTTTTATCATTGGTCCTGTTTTATCTCTTATCTACATTAATGATCTTCCTGATGACCTTACATCTAAAGCAGCTCTATTTGCTGATGACTCAACCTTATACTCAAGATTGATCTACCTTTGGTAAGGAAGGGGCTCACAGTGGCTCTTAAATTTTAACTCCAACAAAACTTAGTATGTTGGAGTTAACCTTTGCAGATACTAAAAGATTTCTCTTCTAGCAAGGCAAAGACTTTAAAATGCATTGTAAACTTAGTTGAATCTATCTGCTAAGCTTGAGCCTATTTTCCATTGTTGTAAAATTACATAATTTTCTCTTTTCTACAAATAAAACCATGTTTATTGCTCAAAAGAGTCATCATCTCTAGTTCTATTAACTGAAACTCATTCTTGCTTGACTTGACTTTTTTTATCTAGTAACTCCCAACTTAATAGTAGTTGCTTGTGGTCTTGTTGGGAGCAAATCAGAATAAAAATAAAAAATAAAATTATTTAGAAGATGTTTACATCATGGATGAAAATGTTATCATACCGTCAATCAACTAATAAAAAGACTAGAATAATAATAACAGTAAAAATAAAAGGTAAAAAACTATTTAAAACTACTGAAAATATTTAAATAATAAAAATATAAAACTAATACAGATAAGAATAATACATATAACATAACATAGACAACAAACAAATGAAAATAAACATATAACAAATAACTAACAAAGATATAAAAGTGCGTTTATAAAAGTAGTCTTTAGTAACAATAAATTGTTACCAAAAAATTATAGGGTAATAACAAAAATAAAAAATTTTACACTGAATAACAGTATACAAATATAAATTATACCCAATAAAAATACAGACAATCAAAAACTAAGAAAAAAACATGAAACCTGTGTTCACCAGAAACCTAGTGGCTGGTTTTATGTCATCATCTTGAAAGATATCATTATCACATTTTAATGACTTTGCAAGAGAAATGAATTCTTCTCGACCAATTATTGGAAGATCATTATTTTGATCTTTATAATTTCTAATTTCATTAACCTTTTCTTCCAACATTGTATAAACTTGTGGAAACAATTTACCCATTATTTTCTCTCCATTTTTTTCTCCATCAGATGTCATAGTTTCTGCCAAAAGATAGATCTCTTTTTTAAGATTATCTATGTCTTAATTTAAAAAAATAAAACATTGAATAAGAATTAAGAAAATTTTTTTAAATTTACATAACAAAAACTACTATATACACTGTATATATAAATACTAAATAAAATTTTAACTATAATTTTTCAATATATACATATACATTTTTAAATAAAAAAAAATAAAACTAAATTATGAATAACTGTTCTGTTTTGCATTCACTGTGCATAGGAACATGCTCTAAGAATTTGCATCACATCCAAAGATTTTATTGTTTTACTTATTATCAGAAAATTTTTACTAATTCAAAAAAAAGTACAAAACAACTTTTTCCACTTTTTTGTGAGAAATCACATATTTTAGGTGAGTACCTAAAGGGCATGTGGTGTACTCTAATTTCTTGCATGTTAATACTGGTGTCAAATGAGGTCACTTGCAAAAAATTGAGATAATTTGAGCTAATCGAATACCGCCTTTTTGCAAAAATAAACTAAAAGCTTTATTAATTGTGAAGATAAATAAAACTAAATATGGTTAAAATAAGAACAAATGCAAAATTATTCTATTAATTCATGCATTTTATCTTTTATCAACATTGGTTTAGTTTAACAGTTTGCCAAAAACTTGTAAAGAATCATTATGCAAAGTGTTTGGGTCAGCCAAAAAAATCAATAAAAGTATTCTTTCTACAAAAGTAGATCTTGTAAGACAATTTTTTGTTTAGGTAGATATTGAAGGAAAATACTAATGGAGAGGATCTGTGAAGAATATATCAAATGTTGTACTGCAAGATTTGAAAGTTATGGCAAAAACCAAGTATTCTAATAATTTGTGATCAACAACAAATATTCGAAACATAAAAGACTACAAACCTAAAATAAAAATCTCCTTAAGTTGCAGCACAAAAAAAAAAAGAAAAAAAAAATTTGACACACTATTTACTATAAAACATAGAAATGTTTAAAACAACTAATCCAAGTTTACCATCTGTGTCATACTACACTTATCCTTCTGAAAAAAGATTTGAAGTTGCCTAATCTAGCTCTAGCATGCAATTAATTTGGAGTTTAAGATTCAGATCTATAAAGAAGAAAAGTTTAAGATCAATCAGTTTCATTATTAGTTAATGCTATTCTCAAGTTGTAATTAAAGAAAATCCATCAAGAATATTTAATAAAAGTAAAATAAGAAAAGAATAAAAGGAAAAACAATTTAAGAATGATTATTTTGAAGTTAAAGGACCATATTTTGACAAAAAAAAAAGGATGTAATTTTTGCAATTAACTTTTTAATTTTTTTATCAGGCCTAATATAGAATTTAGAAAAATAAAACAATTTGAAAATGATTTTAACCCAACTAAATGGCTTTTTTGTTGAAAACCGAAATAAAAAAATCAAATTAAACCAAACCAATCCAATTATTCAAAATAATAAAAAATTGAACCGAAAAGAAGAAAATTTTCAAAAATTTTGAAATGCTATAAAGCTATTAAATTATTAAAGATATTACAATAATTAGTGGCATGTTGAAAATGAGACTAATTTTAAAGAGATGTTACTCCCTCATTTATCAATATTTTTTAAAAAAACTAAAAAGATTTGATTAGAGTATCACATATTTTTATTGTAAAAAGTTTTATTGATCTTCAATGAAGCCATATTGTCATGTTGTCAAACAGAATCAACAAGAGCTGGAATTAGTTGCACAAGACATTATACGCTGACCATGTCAACTTCTTTAAGGTATTTCTTGATTTTTTTTGCAAATAATCTAAACTTTTTGCATAGACTTTGCCTTTCAGAATGCTCCAAAAATTTTTAATTGGGCGCAATTCTGGAACATTTAGGACATTTTAGAACATTTATTTTTTTTTGAACAAAATTCACCTTTTTAGTCTCCAGGTAGGAAATGAGTGATTTCAAATAATGCACCGCTACTAGGTCAGACCAAAATTTATAGGGATTATTGAATGGTGCTTATAGGGTGTGAATGGTGTAATGAACTCTGTAATGAACAGCATTAATCTCGTTTGAATACATTCCGTCAAGTAGACCTGCTGGTTAATTGCCACGCTACTTGGGAGAAAGAAAGGCTTTGAAATGAAGTGCTCTGAAAAGCTAAGTCAGACAAGCAGTTTTTTCTTGTATTTGGCTGTTAGGTAATATTTGACACTCAGGTGTAACTGAAACATTGCTGGTACAGAAAGCCTTTGCTGTTGGATGTGCGAGTGAGAAAAAGTAAAGTAGGTTTCATCATCCAAAATGCAACACTTTTTTGCACAACTTTTCACTTAGCTTACAGCATTTTGGTCTAATCTTTTATTTCTTGACCTCCGTTCTCTTCAGGATCCTGATTTTCTTTCTTGTATGGAGTTTTTTTTTGAGCACCATGGAGATGAATTGATGACTACATTGAAATTATCAAGCTGCTTAGAGTTGTGAAACAGTGTTCTTTTTTTTTTTTTGAACTTCACCCTCTCCCAACTCTATAACTCTGAAACCCGAACCTAGACGAACAAGGCCACTGCGCCGAGAAACAAGTTGAGCGTAGTACCACTAGGGATGTGGTGGGAATCAAACTCAGAACCTTTCGCTTATGAAGCGAGCACTCTACCACTACACCAAAACCGGAAGATAGTATTTCACTCAGCTACATTGTATTTTCTCAGCTACAAAATACGTAATGGTGAATGGTTTTCCAACTGGTTTCTAAACTCTTTGTTCCAAAAGCTTTCTAAACTGTTTTTATTGTCACCTAATAAGCAAATAGATAATAAAACTGATATAATCCAAATATTTTGATGTTTAAGTGTTATTAATACCTGTAGGAGCATGTAAGATGTAAAATAATTTAATAATTACATTGTAACTAATAATATTCTGAAAAATAACAAAAATATTTTTAAGGAATATGAAAAATTGTTAGGCTAAATTTGTAGATTTTGAATCTTAATTATCTTTCTTGTTCAAAATTAAATATTTATTTGTTTTGTTTATTTTTTGGTTTGGTTTAGTCTTACTAAACCAAACAGTTTTTTTTATTCAGATTGAAGATGCAGAAAGAAAGTGATATTTAAAAATTCTTTGAAAAGTCAAATAATTTTTTTTTTTTTTTTGGTGCTTTTAAAAATCAGTCAGTCTTTTTTGTCTTGAATTTTAAATAATGGTGATTTTATCAGTTATTTATTATTTTTATTCTTTTGTTCACTTTAGAGTAGTAGAAAAACATTTTTTTTTTATAAAAGATCATAAAAAGAATTAAAAAAAAAAAACATTTTAAAGATTCTTTGTTATCACTATTAGTAAGTTTAAGGAAAATGCACGAATGCTTGAAAACAGTCAACAAAAAAAGCATAAGGCTAGAATAATTTGTCTTTGAGAATTTTCGCATATGCTAAATATAAGAGAATTTTTACAATGGTTAAAATCTGAGGGTATTACAATATCTGTCGAAAAGAAAAGTTCTCAAAAAGGGTATATTGAAATATCACATAAGATTAAATAACTCTGTTGCTGAAAAGTAATTCGGAAATGCTAAAAAAGATGATTATTCCCAATGTATAAATTTAACACCCGCTAAATATGAACCATTATCAATCAGTGAAGAAGCGACATCTTCTGGGAGGAATTAAAAATTATTAAAAAGCTGATCAAACTGACAAAATGAAACAACTTTTCTGTTGAGTTTTCTTTTAAATAATTATACTGATGCAGAGGTTTTAACTAATGCTTCTGAACATACATAGATATTTTTTTCTCAAGTTCAGTCGTTTTCACCAGAATCCAGTTTACCTTTTGTTTTTAAATATTGTACATTTAATTAACATCAATAAAAGCCAAGGCCAAACATGTGATATAATTTAAGTTTTTCTTAAATAACTTTGCTTTTCTGATGGTCAACTATGTTATTTCTTTAAAAAATATGAGAATTTAATAGTTTGTCTTTCAAATGTTAATAAACATTCAATGCAAGATATGGTAGAAAAAAAAAACTCAAATAATGTTATATTTTCTAATGATCTTAATTTATAGTCTTTACATTTTTTGCTTCAAAAATTTTTAGTTTAAAGATTAGTACTATATGTTGTATGTTATTGTTTCAGTAACTATTTACATTTTTATATTTTTATTTTATACGGAATTTTATATATGTAGTGATAATGATTGAGTTGAGCTTGTTTAAGATAATATAATCCTAGCAGTCAAGCTGTAATAGAAAACAACTAAATAGATTTTATATCATAAGCTTTTATTGTATTACATATTTCATATAAGTTATTCAATTAAACTTTTAATGTAGAAAGATTATTTTGAAATAATCACCTATAGTCTTGCTCGTATATATATATATATATATATATATATATATATATATATATATATATATATATATATATATATATATATATATATATATATATATATATATATATATATATATATATATATATATATATATATATATATATATATATATGTGTATATATATATATATATATAAATATATATATATATATATATATATATATATGTATATATATATATATATATATATATATATATATTATAAATATATATTTATATATATATATATATATATATTTATACATATATATATATACATATATATATATATATATATATATATATACATATATATATATATATATATATATATATATATATATATATATATATATATATATATATATATACATAAATATATATATGTATATATATATATATATATATATATATATATATATATATATATATATATATATATACATATATATATATATATATGTATTATGGACTCCCAAGACTCCGGAGTCTTGGGAGTCCATAACAATTTTAGGACTCCGAGACTCTTTTTTTATTTATTTTTAGTTATTTATATGCTTAAAAAAAAACCTGATGGTCTTGTCACAAAGCACTGCAGAAGAGCACTTAACCTGGAAGTTTACCTCCTTCCTTACCAATTTCGTTCATTTGGCCAGATTAAGTACGGTTCGTAATTCCCTACTTATACGCAGTTATTTTTTAGATAACATTTTAAATTTGAGGATGAACAAATGGCAATATGCGAAACGTCACACGACAAATGCTTGTTAAGAGAATAAAAAAAACTTTTAAAAAGTGCAATAAAACTATTTTATATAAAAACATAGGCGTATATTGTTTTTTAACTTGTAAGAACACAAACTATGTAGCTTGCCGAAAATAATGCGTATAATTCAACATTTTCATATTCTATAACTTATAAAGTTTAACAAACACGTTAGTCATAGAATATATTATGGCTAATTATGTTCATTTTGTACATTGCTAACAAAATGAAAATTCTAAATTTAATAACGCCTTTTGAAAAATTGCAATGAAAGCGTTATGGTTTAGATAGGAAAGCTACCAAATTTAACTAACAAATTAATGACATGCAATAAAAAACCAAATTTTTCTGTAAGTTTGTGCTATAAAGTCAAACTAACGAGCTAGACAAATCGGTAAAAAACCTACTCACTATGTCATAAAGAAGCCCAAAGATGCTTATAAAAATATCTCAGCCAATAAATAATAATTCTTTTGCGCAACAACTCCTTTTACGAAAAAACTTGCTATTAGTTTTAATGCATTTTCCAAAATCTTATTAATTTAATTCGACATATTAGAAATAATACCAGGAAACATGTTACAAAATTTTTTTAACAGCGTCGTCAATTCATAACTGGTCATGTTAACCTGTCTTTCTAACATGACTACTTCTGTCTTTCACTCTAACATATCTTTGTTCTTCCTAAACTCACTTTACTCTAGGTCCATAGATCGGGTTATGACGCTCCTTGAGGAGCCGAACCTGTCTTTGCGGTACCGTGGTAATGTGGCCTCTATATGGCAACTAGCCGGAGGAGGATAAACCACAATACCACATTCTTTCTTTATATTTGTGTGCAAGAATCTTGACCAGTAATGGCCACTAACTATGCATCAGATACAATCTACAGACATTTTCATCGTACAAATAAAATTTTGAACGGTTGTTAAGTAGTATGCTTTAAATGTCTTGTACCCGAAAAAAATAAAAGTAACGAGTTATGCGGTAAAGAAATTACATGTGCCGCAAAAGCTCGCATTAGCAACCTTATATGACACTTATCTAGAAAACACGCGGAGCTCCTCATAACGTTAGAAAAAGAAAAGTTAGAGAAAATATTAGAAGAAAAGAATAAGAACCAAAAAAATATAGTCATCAGAGGCAGTAGTTCACAGCAATCCATGTTAAAGTGTTTTGTACCGCAGCAAATTAATTTACATATAGCAAAAGATGAATTTTTAGAAGCCTTAAACAAGCTGGTTTTGGTTGAAGGACTTTCATTCCAGGTTCAAATTATTTTTTCTTTAATATTTATTTTTTAATTTCAAAAAAAGTCTTAGTTGCATTACATTTTAAAAAATTATGTTTTTTTTGCGAATTTTTAAAAAACATTTATTATTCTAAAAACAAATTCTATAGGCGTTTGATCGAGAACCTATTCAAAAGCTTTGCGGAAAAGTTGCATCTCATTATGGATTTAAAATGAATAGAGATAACATGAGAATTCAAATTAGCGATCTTGCCAAAAAGCATCGCGAACAAATCAAAAATAAAATATCGAAAATGTTAATTTATTTAAAAGTCGATTCTACATCAAGGCATATGCGCCACTACCTTGGTATAAATGCGCAATACTCGAACAATGATGAAATTGTTGTGATCAATCTTGGCACCATAAATACGAAGGGAAAACAAACGGCGGAATACACTAAAAAAATTATTGAAAAGTGTTTAGATAAGTTTGGAATCAATAAAACTAATATTTTAGGCCTCAGTGTTGACAACGCGGCAGTAAGTATCATATTTTGAAATTCATCTATATTTTTTTTAAATGAAGAAAAAGTGTAAATTCAATGATTAAAATCAATATTTTCAGTGAATAAAATATTAAAAAAATAAACTGTTTTGATGTTTGTTAAAATGTCAATAAAATCTTTTATATACTGTAACTTATATTCACTAAATTTTAAATTAACTATTGAAATCGTATTTAATATATTTAGGTGAATATAAAGTTGGTGCGCGACTTCGGCATCAGTGCCATTGAGGAAATTGACAATGACGAAGGCGATTTTTCAGTAGAAACTGATGAATTTGACAAAAATGGTAATTCTACAGCGGACAATACAGCAGCAGTCTTGGCAAGTGGAGTTGCCGGTAGCATGAGTGTTATACATCTTCAAAAATGTGCTGTCCACACTTTACAGTTAGCCGTGAATGATGCATTGAAAAGGCCCACAATAAAAAATCTTATTAGTCAAGCGAGAGAAGTTGTTTGTGGATTGACTTCTTCAGGGACCAAGCTACACATCTTGTTCCAATTTTAGATCAGGCTACCTGTTGGTCTAGCCAGTTCAATATGATTGAGAGGCTAATTAAGGTAAGTTATAACTTATAACTTACCTTAATTAATTTTTTTAACTTTAATTAAAACTTAAAAAGTTTTGAATAAAGTTTATAAAACTATTTTTATTTTTTTATCAACCGGTAATTTTTCTTTTTTTCCAACCGGTATAATATAAATCCAATTATTTCAATATTAATGACATTTACATTACTTAATAATTTTTAAATTTACGTTTATGTAAATATTTCTTTAATAATCCTCTTCATTTAAGTAGTTAATAACATTGTACATATAGTTAATGAATTTTTCTGTTCTTCTAGATTGGACCAGTAATTCAAAATTTGAATATGCAAAAAGAAGCTCCAAAAGAATTTAATGTGCAACCATATCTTTGGGGAATGTGGGAGGAATTGAGAGATATATTGCAAATGGCACGCGATCTTACTATTCGTCTTGAGCGTGAAAACATCACAGCAGGTAAATTCCTTTTTGATTGGAATTCAATAAAGTGTGAACTAGACGGGAAGGATAGCGACTTAGCCAAAGATTTCCGGAAAGGAATGGATAATAGAGAGCTTTGTCGCTACCCATATCCCAAGTCAGTGTTGAGCGACTATTTTCAGTCTTAAAGCACATGACTCCAGACCATCGTAGTCGATTTACATCTGAGTTAATTGACGATATGCTTTTTATTATGATCATATGGTTTAAAATAATCTGAGAAATTGATAAATCTGTGCGTGTGACAATACAAATCAAATAAAAGTTCTCTTTGGAGTTGTATTATTTTCATTAATTTTACTAGACAGCAAATACGGGACAAATTAACTTCTGGGTTTAAGCAACCGTGGCGCAGTGGTAATGCACTTGCCTAAAAAACAAGGGATCCGTGATTCAAACCCTATTTACGCAAATTTTGCGACATTGGTTAGAAAGGAGGTCTGAATTTCCTGTTAATTGCTTTTCCGCAGGTCTCTGCGATATTAATGGTAGCCTATCAATTTTCCGGCATTTTCACGTAAAAAATTCCAGATAAAAAAACCACATTTAATTTAAGAAAAAAATAAAAAATTCCGGAGTCCGGAGTCGGAGTCCATGGAGTACATGATTTTTGTCATCGGAGTCCAGAGTCCCAAAGTCCCGAAAAATCAATGGAACTTCACATCCCTGATATATATATATATATATATATATATATATATATATATATATATATATATATATATATATATATATATATATATATATATATATATATATATATATATATATATATATATGTATATTTATATATGAACATATAAATATATATGTATATATATAAATATATACCACCACTACCACTAAAAAACACATGTTTTTCAGTGGTAGTGGTGTTTTTGTTGTTTTAGAAAAACTTTTCAAAAGCTTACAGTCTAGAAAACTGCTATGTATTAAATGTAAATTTAAAAGCTAAAAAAAAAGACAAATTTCAAAATATCATCTTGATTTCTGGAGCAGATATAATGTGGAACAGAGCTGGAGCAGAGCAGATATATTGTGGAACAGAGCAATAGCAGAGCAGATGTGGAACAGCATTTTATTATTTGCTTTTGGACATTGAATTTGGAAAAAAAAAATTATGAATAAAAAAATTATTTTGCAAAAAAATGTTCTTGTTAATAACAAAATTTAAAATTTTAAGCATTATTTATTCTAATATTACTTTTTACTTTTAAGGTCGAATCTAAAACTCTTTTGCACCTAAATTTAATATTTTTTAACTGTAAAAATCAACTGAAAATGATAGAACAGTGATAAAGACATAAAATTAACATTGAAATCAGTGCCGGCCTTAGGGGGGGGGGCGAGGTTGGGCGCTGCCCAAGGGCGCCAGGAAACTGGTGCTCAATACAGAAAACGTAAAGCAGAAAAAGTTGATAATTTGAAGAAAAATTATAAAAAATTGAAAATTTTTTTACATTGGAAAATAGTGATTGTAATAAAATAAAGGAAGGAGAAAATGTTGCGCATCTACTTAGTGATACATCAACCAGAGATTTTGGACTGAATAAAAGCTTTTGTCGAGGGCAAGGTTACGATAACGGTGCAAATATGAAAGGTAAAAAAATAGGTCTACAAAAGCGAATATTAGATTTGAATCCTTTGGCTTTTTACCTTCCATGTGGAAGTCATTCTCTCAATTTGGTTATTTGTGACGCAGCGTAGTCTTCACTAAATTCCATTAGCGTTTTTGGCATAATACAAAGATTATTCACATTACTTTCTGCATCAACTTCACGCTGGAATGTTTTACTTAGTCATACAACAAACTTCACTCTTAAACAATTATGCGACACTCGTTGGGAAGCCAAAATTGATAGCCTCAAAGCCATCCAATACCAAATAAGCAGCGCACATGATGCTTTAATTACTATATATGAAACTGAAACCAAAACTCCCGATATTGCACACGAAGCGCAAATATTAGCAGAGCAGAACTTTAATTGCATGGTACAATGTACTGTAAAAATGTAATGTAATGTAAAATTTAATAACTCTTGTTTATATAGTTAGAGGATTTATTATATGTTTAATAAAAACATTTGTTATTTTAAAAGCAGTGTTGCGTTGCCTATTTATTTAGTCACTCATTTCTATAAACCCATAACATGAAAAGTCTAAATTTATAATTTTAATAAGAAATTAATTAAATAAGAAACTTGATGCACAATATGGATCTCTTTGCATTAAACTTTATATTCCCTTTAGCACTCTTGTTCATCATTTTAGAGCATTGGTCTCGTTGTTAATGGTAACAACCCACCCATATATACCTAGGGGCGCGTTCACAAGTTTTGCCCAACCTGTCAAAAAAGCTAAGGCCGGCGCTGATTGAAATTATTTCTTGAAAAATAAAAAATAATTCATCATATCAGGCCTTGCGATGAAGCAGGAGCAATTGCTCTGCACACGTAAAACACGCCTGTAAAGGACCTTCCGGGCGCAATCAAATAGGGCTTGTTAGTTTTTTAGCGAGAGTAAAAAATTGCCTGAAGAACTTCGAGGGAGAAAATTATAAGTTGATTTTAAAGAAAAAATTTTTTAAAAGTCAAAATATGTTTAAACAATAGAGTTTGCATATTGTTTAATAAAGAATTAATATTCGTAATAAAGTATGTTATGCAAAATTTATGTTTACGCATAATTTAATTCAATTTTAATTTATGCTGTATAAGTTTAAATTAAAAATTTTATTTTTTTCTTTTATTTGAAAGCTAAATCCAGCATGTTTTTTTTTTAAAAAATTCCAGTTGAACTTTGTCATATTATCTGCTTAATCCTACCCTGGTTAAGTCAAACTGTTCTCCAACTAGTATATTTTTTTAGGGTCCATTTGACAAAAACTTCCCTTAACTAGAATTATTACTTTGAATTGCATTAAATATGTAATAAAATATCAAAACTTGCAACACTTCAATGTAAATTCCAAACTTAAATGTTAAATATCTAGCGTAATATTTACAAATATTACGCTATAAATATCTAGAGTAATAATTATAAATATCTTATAAATAAATATCTAGCGTAAAAAGTTTATCAAGCTCAAACTTCACTTAAAGGCTCTATTTCGTACAGGTTTGATCACATTTTATTAATTAATGACTATTATATTTAAAATTCAAAAACATTAAAATGTTGGAATATCAAATAATTTTTTGTCAAATATAAGTTAATATAAAACTAAATATTTTCACTAGTATCTTCAAATCAATTAAGCTTATATTAAAGTCTATTTTCATGGCCAACGACACGGGTTTCGAAGAGTAGGGGCACAATTGTCTATTAAAAAAATCCTCTATAAAAAATAATAATAATAATAATAAAAAAGGTCTTTAGAAAAGAAGTAAGGAGGGGGGGGGGGCACATTGCCCCCTTGCCCCCGGCGTCATTGGCCCTGATTTATTTAAAAAAGTTAAAGCTAAATGCAAATCAGAATTAAAAAAAAAAAGTTATAATAACCAATACCTATAGCAAATATATTTGTTATATAACTTTAAATTTAAACTTTTGGAAGTGTGCTCACAAACAACAGAAATGTTACGAAAAAAATGTTACGTCACTAATTTCACAAATGCATTTCTCAAAATATAAGTCAGTATATATATATATATATATATATATATATATATATATATATATATATATATATATATATATATATATATATATATATATATATATATATATATATATATATATATATATATATATATATATATATATATATATATATGTATATATATATATATATATAATATATATATATATATATATATATATATATATATATATATATATATATATATATATATATATATATATATATATATATATATATATATATATATATATAGGCCTTGCGATAAAGCGTCGGGCGATGTGAATTTTACGTCGTCCAAGAGCGATTTTGCGTGTAGCTAGGGCTATTTGCGTCGAGCAAAAAATTTTTTGTTTGAGTATATTTAAAGATATTTTTGAGCAGAACTTTAATGAAGTAATTTACGATTATTTTAACATTTAATAAAGTATTTTAAAAACTGCACGCAGTTGATACAAAAGTTTGATTTACAAAAAAATTAAATATGCTCATTATTTAAAAGTAGATAAAATTCAGATAAAAAAAGTTTAAATCTTTTAAAGGTAACATTTTAATAAAATTATTCAGCAATAGCAAAGTTGTAGATAAAATTGAACAAAAATACTTTCTTTTAGTTTTAGATATTTAACTTAAATAATTATTTTATGGGGGTTTGTTAGGTTTTAAATTATTCCATAGATTTAAAAATATTCATTAACTGTTAGAGGTATTTAAAGTATTTAAGAGTAATTTCAATTTTTTAAAATTGGTAAGCGCAAATAAAAAAAAATAAAAGGAATAATATTAAAACGTATTCTACTTGATTCAATAAAAAAAAGTACAGCTATTAAAATTTGTGTAAAAACTCGAAAAAAATTACTTAAATAATAACAATCGCTTTTTTGTTAAAAGTTACCGAAACTCAACGAAGCGTGCTCAAGATCAGCTGCTGAAAAATAGAACGCCAATAGTTTTTCGAATAATTTTTAAGAATAATTTTTTCACTGAAATATGTCTTTTATACCTATAAGATTTTTATTCTAACATTTTATTTTATTTTATTTTACCAAAAATAAAATTCCTTGTAAACATTAAAAATCTATTCATAACGTTCGTTAAAGTTTTTTAGTAATACGAGTGATTGTGCTTATCAACCGCTTTATGAAAAGAAATAAAAATAAAAAAATATTATATAAAATCGCTAGTAAAAATATTAGCTATTGCACAGTTTTTAATCGTACAATATTAAAATTTCCAGTTTATTACTCGCTGACTTTTTAAAAAGAAAAAATAATTATTTGAAAAACTTTAAATTATATATTTGAGAAAGAAAAAAATCAAATATTAGCATATTTTATAATCTTTTTTAAATGTTTAGTTATAATGTTTTTTATTCGTTTAGTATAGACAAAACATGTCAAATGCCGAGAAAATAAACAAATGTTTTTACATTTTAAAAAACGAAACATTCCGAAACATTTTTAAATAATAACATTTCTACATTAATGATTTAAAGTAGTTTTGCGGTAATTAAGTAAATTGGTGCAGTTAATGTCGATAAATATGAAAAGCAAATAAAAAGAATTTAATGACGTCAAAAATCACGTCGTGCTTATGCGTCGCGCAGTTTTTATTCATCACAAGGCCTGTATATATATATATATATATATATATATATATATATATATATATATATATATATATATATATATATATTATATTTGTATATGTATATATACTTACACTTATATATATTATATTAGCATAAGTCTATTACATATTAGGGTGTGACATCCGCCCCCTATACTCTAAAAAAGATCATAATTATTAATAATTATACATAATTATTAATAATTATACATAATTATTAATAATTATACATAATTATTAATAATTATACATATTTATTAATAATTATACATAATTATTATTAATTATTAATAATTATACATAATTATTAATAACTATACATAATTAGACAAATTAGATTGACTGTAAAATGTTTTATTGTAAAAAATTTGAATAATTTTTTAACTGATTTCATTCAAATTGCTAAATTTGATAAATTGGACATGGATAAAAAGGAAATACGATTATATTTTGCATTTGATTTTTAATAACGAAACTTAAAATGTCGGCAATTCAATACAGATGGTAATTTAAATAAAATGTCATAGTGCGCGTTAAAAAACATATTATATTTAGTATTTCCTAGTTTATGTGTTATATTTGGCATTTGTCACTTAACATAAAAAATTAACAAAATTGACAAAAGTTTCTCTATAAACATTACAATAATGCTACACAATTGCGTAACCTATAGTCATAATAATTACAATTTTGTAAATAAAACAAAATACAAAATGTTTTTCAAAATAAATTCAATTAAATATATTCTCACATGGCTAAATAAGATAAATTTTGTGAATATGTGAATATACCTGATAAAAATTTTACTAAACAATAGACAATGTGACATCTGACTTTTTTGCGCAAAATTTGGGTAGTTCAGGAGGTCAGACAAGAAAATTTTATTTTTCTCTAATATATTTTTCATACTATGAGAGCCTAGTTAATATGTTCCTTTTTTTGATCTTAGAATAAAACAACACAATATCGCATAATTTTATGGGCTTTTTATTTATTACTTAGTCATTCTAAATAATTAATTTATTTCAAGTTAATATTTCAATATTTACAGTTGCAATATAATAAAAAAAAGATGTTTAATGGTGAACTTTTTATTATTATTTTTTTCTACTTTAGTAGACTTTAGTTAAAATCATTAATATTAAATATATTTTGACAGTTTTTTCGTTTTACTTCCCGAACTTCATGCAAAGCAAATTCAGACAAAAAATTGTCTAACCAAATAAAAATGCTGTTACTAATTTTATAGGGGTAATTAATATAGCACTTTTTATCAGAATCTTAATTAAGATAATAAATACTTCATCATTTTTTAACATTAAATATAGCACAATAACAATTTATAGCAGCAAATGAGCATAAAATATTTGAGGCTTTTAATATCTTTTTAAAAATTAGAAAGTAAATAACTAAACAAATAATGAATAAAAATAAAAGAAATTTTCTAGGGTTTCATTTGTCAAAAGTCTACCCTGATGTGAAATACTAAAACTTTTATCAATGGAATCAAACTCCCAATACATGTTGTGTTCATATTAAAGATAATCTACAGACTTCGGCAATTCCTTAAAAGGAATTGCCGAAGTTTGTAGATTGCAACGTATAATTTAAAGACTCTAATATTTCAAGTAAAATTGAGAAGGCAAGCTTCAACTAACAGGACAAGATTAGTTTTTCTTGGTATGCATTCATTATTTATTTTTAATCTAAAAAAACTTGGTTCAAACCTTTTTTTTTTCAACATTATCTTTAATATAAACACAATATGTATTGGGAGTTTGGAATCCTTTTAACTATGTAATCTAGTATATAAAATATTATTCACTTAATAATATTTAAATGGCA